GATTTTAAGGTCTAAATTTTCTTACCTATACATATTTATACATTCCACTCAATTAATATGTGATTTATTTATTTTCTATTATAAGTTTTATATGGTGATATATATTGTTACCGCCACCCATCATAATGTATATCGTGATATGAATTTTCTGTCATATCGCACATTCCTAGTCAGCAGGGCTGCGAGTGCAGAGACAACTGAGCCAGAGGTCGAAATACAATGAAGAAATTCTAGCGTTTTAAAACACGTATAGAGAGGATATATATTGTTACCGCCACCCATAATAATGTGTATCGTGATATGAATTTTTTGCCATATCGCACATTCCTAGTCAGCAGGGCTGCGAGTGCAGAGACAACTGAGCAAGAGGTCGAAATACAATGAAGAAATTCTAGCGTTTTAAAACACGTATAGAGAGGATAAATTCTCAAAGTATCCCCCTCCTGCTGTAGAAAACTTACGTCGTGTCGCGGGAACATAATCTCTTCCTCTCCTCTCCTCTCGCTGCACGTCGCGCAGAGTGAAGCTTTAACAACTGTAGTTTTTCACACCCATTTGTCGGAGAAAAACAAYGTTTTTATGTATTGTTACCCACAGAGATGATAAAAAAAGACGTGGACATTCGTTCAGCCATAAATCCATCTTGCTAATGTAAAGTTGGCTTCTGCTCTGATGATGAAGACAAGCGCTGCAGAGCAGCATAAGTTCAGCTATTAAAGCAAAAATGTTGGGTTTAATTAAATTACAGTTTTCTGAAAAATAAAATGCTCTAAAAATTACATTATCTTTACTTTTTATGATAATTTTCTACCGCGACATATACTTTTACCGTGAAGGAGTTCAATTTATACCGTGATATGAATTAGAGGCCATACCGCCCAGCCCTAATTTGGAATATGTATAAATAGTTGGAATTTTATATGTGCCACATGATTTGGTAACTCTTACATGCAGATACAACAAACTCAGAAGAATTATGATGGAAAACATGATGAAACGTGGAGAGAGACAGAGAAAAGTAAGTTCATATATTTTTTTAGGGTTCTACAGGTTATTTATGAAACTCATGAAACAAGTTTACCAGGGTTGTCCTTGTCAATATCAGAGTCCAGCTCCTGACATGAGACACAGTAGTTTTTCTGCTGTTTGTCCTGAAGGAGAATAGTCTGGAAAAATAAACAAAAAACACAATATCATGTACAAAATCGGTGCAAGAGACAAGAACTTTTGAGCAGGGAATTTTCTGAAAACATTTAACTTTTGAGCAGGGAATTTTCTGAAAACATTTACACTCAAACATGATTTTTTTCAGCTGATAAAAGTTTAAGACCATAGCTCAAAAAACCCCTGAAAAAACCCCCCAAAATGGAAATCAAAGTGTCTAAAAAAGGACTCAGTAATAAGTAGCTCCACCATTCTTGTTGATGACTTCAAACAATGGTTT